ATAGGACATGTGTCAAAGCCAGGTAATGCTGAATGCTCTGGTCGTAGTGGGTGTACTGGTAGCCTAAGATTTATTGGTGTTTATTTTGGACCTTTGTGTATTCCAGAGACATTAAAATTGTACCAATCAATTGGAGTCAAAAAATCTACCTCCAAAGCTCTGCTTGTGCTTGACACTGACTGTGTTAAATGACAGTGACTAGACCTCAAGGCAAAAGTAAAGATGTTTAAAATCTGTAACTGTTAGGGCAATATATTGCATCTTCATTGAGGCCATGGGCTCTGTCAGGAGTCTGGTTGCATGAAAGCCTTTTCTACTCTTCAGTGTAAGATCCCCTATTTTGAAAAGAATGGCCTGGCAGGAGGAAGCATCCGTTTGAAACAGGACATTGCTTCTCAAGCACAGCAGGTGGGAAGTTGTCAAACTGAAATGGGAAATGGACAAGGCTTTGGCTTCACTGATCTTCAGCTTCTCCCCTAGGATGATGTTGTTCTGAGGGATTTTTCACAAGCGGAGGTTGTTATCTCATTACCATTGTATTTTCAAGGCAGCAGGTCATATAGAAATTCTCTTGTATTTCCTATTGGGGGAATCATGATTCTTATGGTTCAGAGCTTATTTTTTTGTGTGTGATTAGAGTATATTTGTGTTTTGAGTTTGGTTTTTACAGGAGAATGATTTATTTATCTACTTCAAGGAGCTCTTTAAAAATCCTGGAAGAATCAAAACCTTTGCCTGAAGGTGCCAGTGGTTGTTGCAGTGTAGCAAAAAATAATGTCGTACTGCCTGCCAGTAAAAGCAGAATTCCCATGTGTACATTTTGTAGCATTTATAAGTTTGTATCAGAAATACTTTCATTGAATATTTTACATCGCTGGGGTAAAAAGGGATGTGTATTGAAGGGAACACAAAAGGGCAGGAGGGGATGAATTCCAGATCTGATGCATAGCACAGGAGGCATCACCGTGTATGTGGTGGCCCCAAGGTCTCTGTGGTATGTCATGCATTCTCCTGTGTACTGATGAGGAGATACTGGGAGCATTCACAATACAGTGCTCAGGTGGCAAAGGCCATGGCTGACTTCTGGCTTTTAGGGAAATTCATTAATTACAAATCTCAAGGAACTTAATAATTTTGATAAATGAACGATGATTAGACCTTACATGAAACCAGCGTATCTTGCCATAATACAGTTCTGTAAACTATCAAGAATATGAGAAAGTGACACTGAGTTAAAATGTGGTTTAGGCATATGCAAAGGCTTGTGGCAGGTGGAAGTTGAGAATAATAATGTCTTGATATAAAATGAACTCACAGAATTAAGTAGGTTGGAAAATACCGCTGAGATCACCAAGTCCAACCTGTGACCAAACACCACGTTGTCAACTGACCATGGCACTAAGTGCAACATCAAGTCTCTTCCTAAACACCTCCAGGGACAGTGACTCCGCCAGCTTCCTGGGCAGCCCATTCCAATGCCCAGTCATTCTCTCTGTAAAGAACTTCCTAATGTCTAACCTAAACCTCCCCTTGCACAACTTAAAACTCTGCCCTCTTGTCCTACTGCTGGTTGCCTGGGAGAAGAGACCGACACCTGACTACAACCTCCTTTCAGGTAGCTGAGATTGATAGGGTCTCCCATCTATCTTCTTCTCCAGGCTAAAAAACTCATGGTCCTGTAGTGTGATGGAGTGATGAAGGATGGGGTGATAAAGGACCTCTAACTAAATGGTTGAGGCTGTTCCATGAGACCATTCATTACAAAAAATTTTGCAGTAGGAAAAAAAAAGAATCAAAGAGTTTTATTAGGTGAATAAAAAAATCTGAAAGTTAGCTAAAAAAACATTCCAAGGGTAGTTCTACTACAGTATAAAGAAGTAATTTAACTATGTAGAGCTCATTAAAAAGGAGTCAGATGTCTATAAAAGACATTATTTTTTTGCTGCATTTGAAATTTCTGTTAGAATATATTATATTTGTGTATATAATTACTTATGGCTTAATTTCTGCAGGTTTCTAAAGTCAATTTACAAAATTTCCAAAAGGGATTTTTTCCATTGGTCTACACTGAAGTTTCCACCTCTGGGCTATCTCACATTATTCTGTATCATCACCTGGGTTTTTATTCTGTATCTATTACTTAGAGTCCAACAATACTTTGTATGAAAGGCTATGTTTAAGTCTGGAAAATATATTTTTGAAGACGCACTAACAAATTTTGTAGATACAGACACTTTTTTTTTTGGTATATGTTACAGGGTCACAACGACATTACAGGGTCACTTTTATATTTAACCTTTTGTGAAATGAAAATGAAAAATTCATTGAAAGCTTTTGGCTTGTGTGAATAGGAAAAATTACTGCAGTGCTATTAACCCAATTGGGCATATTCAAGTCATTAAGAAAAAGGAAAAAATAATATGGAGGCATAATTTCCACTAAGGAATATTGATTACTTTAATTTTAGAAAATACAGACTGGAAATAGTCACATGTCACCAAAGTTCAGGAAGAATAATACATCAATAAATAAAAAATTATTAGGGATAAAGTTAAAAAGACTTTAAAGAAGCCTGCTAACAGGCTGAGGGAAGAGGAGTGGTATGGAGTGTACTCAGATGGGGTAGATGCAATTAACAAACCACATCACCTTTCGTATGAGATTTTCAGATGAGTGTCATGGCTTTTGGGACTGATGGGCTCTCAGAGCAGCTGCCTGGGGTTGGACTTCATGCGTGTCCCTGAAAAACGACAAGGAGAACTACAAGGAGGTTTTGTACCTCCTGTGGCTGGGATAGGAAGGATACTTTCACTTCTGTCAGCTCCAGAGAACCTCGGAAACCCCTCCCTTTACAGGGAAGAAATAATGAGCAAAATTTCTTGGTTTTGTTGCCAGGTCAAGATTTGACAAGTTGAAGTCGCATGTTACTGCAAATAGCAAACATGTAGAAAATTGGGATGTTCATGTATAGATTACTCATGTGTCTACAGATACCTAGTCCTTATATTTGTATTTCTTATTCTTGTGCACTATTGCCCCTGTATTTATTGCACATTGATTGTGAAGAATATCAGTAAATGTTTCATTTGTATTCTTTTTTCCCCCCCTCATTTAAATTATTTTGAGTTCCTCATCTGCTCTTAAAGTATAAGAGATCAGAAACGGTGCTTGAATAAACATAGTAGTATTTTATGTAATGCCCTGGCAGTCTCAGGTATTCAGCACCATCCAGTGTTCCTCTACTAGACAGATTTTCAAAAGCTGGCTTCTGTATTTCACACCTGCAAACTACAGCAATATTTAGTAGGAAGCGCTGTGTGTCTGCAGAAGTGAAATCTGGCCCTATGCATCAAAGGGCTTGGAGGCCATTTCTCTGGTTATTTGCTCAGCTGACTGTGTTTGATCAGAGCTGATGTCCTCAGTGGTGCGGTGAGGCTGACATACTTACAGGAATCTGAGTGCATTACTAATTGCAGTCACATTTCAGAATAAACAAATCTGAGTTTTTTCCTTTTTTTTTTTTTTTTTTTTAATTGCCTTTCACCTTTAAAATAGCAGAATGAGCATTGATTGATTCCCTGTGATTCATCTGGAATAATTACATTTAAGTTCTGTGGGAACAAGGCTCTGATTTATATTTCAAGAGTACTTACCTTGTTGTATTGAGGCTTTTTTTCATTTAGTGGCCTGCAACAGCCTGGGACCAACTACATCCCAAATAATTGTCAGTCTCAGGTCTTATGCTCATATTACAGTTTCCTTGTACCTTGCAGATCAAGATTTTCTGAAAAAGTGTTGTTGTAATCCTTCCATGCGGGTTCATCCAGTTTTTCTCAACCCTTTTTTGCTTCTCATGGAATTTCCTTTCCCTTGAACTCTGTTTATAGTTGATACACATTGCTTTGATTTCATACCTATTTTCTACATAGCCTGATGATGTTAAAATAAATAAAAAAAATCACAAAAAGTGCAGAGAATGTTTAGTACAGAACAAATGTTTAGTAATAGAACTGGTTCATGCCCAGAGTACAATATGAATAAGCTGTGGGACTAATCATGTGATTAAGACACTTGAAATTAAGTGCCTGACCCTGTATATTTTGTTGGGGTATGCATGACACTGCTGTAGCTGGCAGTTCCTCTTGAAAATATTTGGAGGGATCTGCATTTTTCACACCTTGTGGATCAATTAATAATAATAATAGTGCCAGTTTCATAGTACTGTGAGAAGAAGAAGGCAGGTGAAAAAGGAGCACTGAGCAACAGCAGAGACCATGGTGTCCCGTGGTCACCATCCTACTAACAAGTCTAGGAGTGGCAAGTGAAGAAACAGCACATAGCGTAAGAATATGAGTAAATATCCACAAAGGTAACTGTAAGAGAAGAGGTTTTAGGAGGACCTGGGTTGGTATGAATCGCCTCTAGATGTCACTGCAACATTGTAAAACGTAGATAAGAGAAGGTTACAAAGCTGAAGGTATGTCTTATACCCTCCAATTCCTGGTTACTGTCTCAGTCAGCCCGTAATAAATTGTTGCATCATTAAAAAAGCCATTACCAGATGTTGATTAACAGCAAGAAACTTTTTGATATCTGTCATTAAGACTGTTACTGAGCATTTTACTAGAATGTTAAGTATTCTGAGCTTTGGTTTAACCTAGTTTTTAACAGCAAAATCTAACGCAGAGAAACAGCTGATTTCTGGATGTTTCTTTCTTTTAGTTTCTGAAGTTCAGTCCTGATCTTTTCTGGGCTGTTTTTATGCCAACACTGATGCTGATTACAACTCTTGCTTTACACTTTCCCTTGCTTTACACTGTTACCAATTCAATTAGCCTGGTAGTCATTATAGTAAGGACCATCATTTATAGGAAACGTGTGAGTTACAATACAGAGTATTTGCATTTGACCAAAAAAAAAGTCAGGTTGCAATTTCATGAGGACCAATAAGATATGTAAACTGTATACATTGACTAATATGTCAATTGCCTTTTCCACAGGTCATCGAAGAAAAATTACATTTGAATGAAACAGAAACAAAAGAAAAGAAGCCACCAGATTCAACAGGTTGAGCTTTTTTTTTCTCTAATCAGTTTCTAGTTCCTAAGAAATAGCACAAAAATAGCCATTATGTTCCTGAGTAGCTCCAGTGAAGTTGTTTGGGTTACGTGTGCTCAACAGCATGAGTGAAAATCGTTGAAGAAACATCAATATACTTTTCGCATGCCTGTGCAAGGTCTCAAACTCAAGCTCAAAAAAGTGCTTTGCCAGAGGAGTTTATTAACCTTGACTTGTCTGACAATAATTTTGAGTGAGAAAAACATTTTCTAATGCTGTGTGTCAAAGGAAGCATTTGTGCACCATGACATCTCTGTTTTGAATAAGTAGTCTGCTCTTGCTTAGGAGACATTTGAACTGACCTTGACAGTGGAAGAGAAAAGCAAATGCCTAGTTCAAAATGCAGCTAAATTTATGCTAAGTGTACAGCCCTACTTTAATATTGTTACTGACTCTCAGAAAAAAACTGACAGATTCCTTTGCAATCTCTTCACTTACAGAGGGGGCCATCCAGAAGAGCCAGTCCAGCTCTCAGGAAGAAGAAGTTGATAAGCTCAATGAGGAAAATGCCAAGAGGGAAAGTTCTGCTCTGCTTGAGGTGGATCCTCCCAAATTTCATACTGAAGGATCAGAGGAGAAAGAAGAAAATTTGGCTTTTGAAACTTATTATGAATATAGGAGAAATTCTGTTCAGGAAGAACAGAATGTAGGAGAATATAGGAGAAATTCTGTTCAGGAAGAACAGAATGTAGGAGAATATAGGAGAAACTCTGTTCAGGAATCATTGGCTCCAGCAAAGCAGCAGGAAGAAAATGCTGTTGATGATGCTTGTCAAAGGCTAACTGTGCAGGAGATAGAGAATGAGTCCCCAGCAGATGAGGAGAGGAGGGAGGAACATCAGGTGCCTGGAGATGAAGAGCAAGAGGAGAGGGAGAATGAAGGGGAGGGAAATGCCGATAAGAGTGAAAAAAATGTTGAGGAACCATCAGCTCCTTCCCAAAAGGAAGATGAGGCAGAACAAAGCGATGATCAAGAGGCACTAGAGGGAAGGTAAGATGTGAAGCTCATGCTGCACGTTTTTAAGAGACCCATGCTTTAGACAAATGTGTCATTCAAGTTTCAAGTCAAAGTGGCTGGTTAATATAAATAGTGGTGAAAATTTAGCCCAATTCAGAAATGAAAAATATGTTTATCTCTCTGATCTGAGTGAAGTTATACTCTTAAACCAGACAGTCGAACAATCTATCATACACGGTATTAGCAGTGTGCTTTGATTGTTTGCTTGGAAGATATTAGGAACATGGGTATTATGTTATGCCATTTTTTATCTCTGAGGAGAATGCTCCCATTTTTATGTTTATATACTGCAGTGTCTTATAACATATGAGCAAAATAAGGTTAGATTAGACCACTGGGAATTAGGCCATTGCCAACTGGGAATTAACTTATTGCAAAATGTAGTAGCTTAAGGGATAACATAAAAATGTCAAACTTGGCCCAGACAATTAAACTGATAAATTTGTTTACTGTAATTCTTTCTTTGCTGTGTTGATATGTAGCCCTTCAGGGATAAACAGGTTTAAGCTCTCAGGAACCCATATGAATATAGTATATTTCCAATACTTTCCCTTTGTTTTAAAGGTGAGATTGATAGCCAAACGTTAAGTAAATTTAGAAGAACTCAAGTGAGGATTTCAGTAATTGAGAATTATTTTGCTGGCATGATTAATTTAGGGGCCATTTTTATTTCTCAAAGTGAATATTAAACCAGTTTATATTACACCATGAAACAAAATAAGGTAATGTTATTTGAATGCAATGTATGTGTAGGCATTTTTCACCTGTATTTCTAAATTTGCTCTGCTTTAAGTGTATCCTGCGCTAATGCCATGTTTTGTCCTTGCAGGTGTAAAAGCTGCGAAAAAGGTACAGGAAATTATAGATCAATACTGAGCAGACCTGCCAATTTGTGCATAGCGGTAGCAGTAAGCATCGAGTGAATGATGGTCTAATCAAAGATGATAACAAAAAGAGCAGGGTAGTTGCAGAAAGTGCTGATGACATATTTAAAACCATAAAAATCTCCTAAAGGAAGTATCTTAAAGGCAAAACATTTAATTCCATGGGTATTACAGTGAGGAACAGTGAGAGATATCTGTAGAAGAGAATTATTTCATGATTGTAATTGGTAGGGGGAAATGATGTGCATGGTAGCTCTGACTGGAAACAGTTGTTCATGGACCACGTCCTAAGCTGATGAGAAATAACACAGTTCTGCTTGCTTCCATCTTAGAGGCTTTGCTTCTGCCACAACTACTCCACTAATACTATCCTCTCTCCCTCTTTCAACAAAAGAGCTAAGACTCTGAAGTATAAAGTGGAGGGAGAAATTACATCATGTGTGGCAAAATTGGTTGACCTCTGGAAGTGCTGAGACTGTGTGTTAACAGAGAATCTGCAGTGCTCTAGACGTAGCCTGAAAAACCAGCTTGCTTATATTCATGCCATTCTAATCTGAAGTGAAAACAACTGCAGCCTTTAAAGAAATACAACTTTTGTGTGGAAGCCTGAGTGATGCTGTTGAACAGCCAGATAAATGGTGCTCAGGCACCAAACTCTGAAGCATGCTCACCATGATGAGGCAGAGATTTCTAATATTAGACCTGCAGCTTGAGAATTTCAGTGCCTATCCCTGTATGTGAAATTGTGGCACATGAGAAGGGGGCCTGAAAGATTTGAAGCTATTTGTGTCTGCATGTGCATGCATAGGACGCAGAATGAATTTCTTTGCTTTGGGAGTGGGGGGAAAGTGCAGAAGGGAAACATTTGTTACATGTTTGTGCTAGGTTTTTGTAGCAGGAAACAGGAGATAGTGTACTAAAACTTTAAAATTTATAAACTGTCCTGAGCTCTGGCAGAGGGATGGTACTAAGGTTAGAGTGTCTCTGCTCGAGCATCTTTGATCTGCAATAGGAGGTCATTCTTGAATAGGGAGGAATCTCCTCTGGTTTTCAGGTAAAGAAAAATAGAGGGTCTGTTGCTGGGAACATCTTGAAGGCAAAAACTTACATAGTTTTAAAAAGGAGACTGGCCTCTTTAAAAGAACATTTCCTTGCCCAAAGTTTGGTAGCGGTTTGGAGCTGAGCTTTTATAAAGACATTTTCTTCTGTCACTTGCATTCTGGAGCCCTTGGAATTTGTGTTGTTAGAGTCAAATTCTGCCTTAGGGTAGAGGTTTTCTTGGCATTTTGTGGGTCTTGGTAACACACAAAGACCCATACTTATGGTCGTGCAATTCAAACTCTGCAGAATCCCAAGTAGGTGGCAAACTTCCAGAAGCCCCAGCTTTTCACAATTCCTTGACCATGAACTAACTTCCTGACCATGTAAGTTATTAACGCTGTCAAAAAAAAATCTAGGTACACAGCTGGTGTCCAGGAAAAATGGACATTCACTGTGAATAAGGACAATCTACTGCTACGTTAATGACCAAAGTGTTTCTGCCAGCTACATGCTGTCATGGGGTTTTTTGTTTGTGTTTTTGATCCTTTTCACTGGAGTAATAGATGGTTTTAAAATTGCTCAACAAGCCTCACACAAAAAGGAGCTGGCATTCCAAACCACAGAGCTCATGTGGAAACACTGGGGCTGTAGCCCTCCCAAACAGTTGAAGAAGTATTTGTCACCTTGGTCAGCCAAAGGTCACTCTCGGGAATATCAATCAAATGGAAAACAACGTGGGTATGAAATTGAAGTCACAACACCCTGCAAAAAGTCCAAATTAGGCATGGAGGGCTGGTCTCCAGCAGGGATTTTAACATCAGGATGGCAGAAAGGTCCAGCATGTGGAGGTCCAGAAAATAACACCAGAGATCTGTTGAAACTCCATAGCTGCTGCAGTGTGAGGTTGGGAACACAAACCTTCTCTGTGCCCCCCTTTACCTTTTGTCTGTCATCCTTTTTTAAGGACAAAAATTCTTCAGAGCACCATGTGTCAGTTACCATATGTCCTACCATACCAGATCCAGAGCCATACTGGAAATCCCAAATGCTGTCTGCCAGGGGGAAGCTTCCCCATGTGCATAAGCTCTAAATGTGATGCTTAAAGGTGATGACCACAAGTTGTGTCAATCAGTAAAGAGGATTCTTCACTGTGAACAGCAAAAGCTGGGAAATAGCCTTTCGTAGCTGTGTCTGGAGAAGAGTTCAGTTTCTCTTCCTACCCAATTGGAGACTTACAGTACATGCTCACCTATTAACAGTATCTGAGGAGGAAAAAAATATTTTAAACAGAGATAAGGCTGAATGGCTGAGGCCCTTTGCGGGCACGAAGCTACACTGATACAGCATTTGTACAGGTCTTTGCCTCTTCCTACTGTTGTGCAGAATATGATAACTTAATAAAGGAGTCCTTGTCTTAGTGTAGCTCCCAAACAACCACCTTTTTTCTGAGCTAGAACTTCTGAAATAAACCCCTTCTTAAATAACAGAGAAAGACCTATCTATAAAGGCTTCAGTAAGTGTATTCAGTTCTTAAATGAACTTATCTGGGCAAAAGAGGGAATAAAATGTGTGACAGACAAGCACTATGTGTGACCACTGATATCCCATCTGTCTGTTTTTTCTTTTGTAGATGATATTCCTACTCCACCAGCACCATTTGATCACCGGATTGTATCAGCCAAAAGGGTGGGGATCAACAGTTATTATAATGTCAACGAGGATGAAATTCTGGGAGGGTAAGTCAGGCAGAGTAAATCAACTTGGAAAGCAAGGCATAAATGTCTCTCATGCTGACATTATTTAGGATAGAGGGATATTGTAATTTTTGATGGCAGCATGCTCTTGGGTAAGGCTTTGATTCTTCCTGGAATCACAACCATCCCAAGGAGGAGAATGATGTGACGGAGGGAGGCAGATTGTGCACGAGTCATTATCCTTAGAGTATGATGCCTGCTCTGGGATTAGTCATTGCATGTAATGAGGTGAGTATAGTGAATCATATAAGTGTGATATACCAGATAGAACAGTGTGTGACTTTTGGTGTGCCTAAATAAGTAGTAGTAAGTATAATCTCCACAACAAAATAGCAACAGTAGAGCAATTGAAATGGAATCTAGTAGGGAGAGGATAATTTAAGTTGTTTATGTTGCAGTTTACATTCAGAGCTGACACCAGTACCACTGGATGATTTTTTTCTTCCTCCTTTTCTCTAGAGGGCGATTTGGACAAGTGCACAAATGCGAAGAGAAAGCAACGGGTCTCAAGCTAGCAGCCAAAATTATAAAAGCAAAAGGTCCAAAACAGAAGGTTGGTAGAGTGTAATATTAGTCTGTTCTTCAGCAACACAAAAGACCATGACCAAGTGTCTCATAAGCCATCACACTCATAGGACCTGCTGGATTAGCACTGACTCTAATGCTATTTCCCTTCTCCTTCAAAACTTCCACTAATTCTTTTTTCTTTCTTTCTGTTGTTAATTGTGTTAGCATTTTCTTTAGTAGAGGCATGTTGATAACAGGCTTGGTCTGGACTCCTAGCTTCAACGTAAATACAGATGAGAGGAATTAATTTGACCTGTTTTGCAAACCTTCTGTGGCTTGCTTTCACAGGGAAGACATGCATATCATCCTTTGTGTGACAGCAGTGTCATTAATGGCGTTCAGGAGCAGGATTTGTCTCAACTAACTGGGGTTGCTAAGGTATAGCTGTGGTCAAGCTGATCAGGAAGAATTCCTTTGTAGTCAATGGAGAGAGACTAACACCATCACAGAATGATTCATCCCATCCTAAACTGCATGTCTGAAACAGTTGGAGTAAATGGAGGTACCAGTCTCTCTCCTCTGATTGCAAAGTTAGGTTTTGAGGACTGTCCTGGACTTTTCTTAGCCTGGTTTTGTGCACCTAGAGCTGTTTGAACCAAGCCATTTTCTGCTTCTCTTTTTTCTTTACATCCCTGTGAACCCATCACTTGTCCGTGTGGGCTCTCTTCTTCCTTTTCCACCAAATAGCTTTACTGAAGCAGTCCCCCACTCAAGCCCTGAGTTCAGTGTAGTAGTTCCTATAGCCTTTACATCTACCACTGCAGGAACAATCAAAGGAAAGCCCTGTGTTTAGTTGCCACAAGTGAATACATGAGCATAATGTATGTTTGCTTCAAACTATGTCCTGTTTCATGTAGCTTTCTTAAAAAAAAGCATCTGAAGCAATACTCATGACTCTTTACAGGATGAAGTTAAAAATGAAATCAATGTCATGAACCAGCTGAATCACGTGAACCTCATCCAGCTATATGATGCCTTTGAATCTAAAAATGACATTGTACTCGTCATGGAATAGTAAGTGTGGTTTTTTTCCCTTTATGTCTTCACCACTTTTGCTAGAACTGTCAATTTTCTTCTTGCTTTCTCCTGAAATTAGAAATAGAGCTTCTTACAGGAAAGAACATATGAAATATGTATTCAAGAAAAACAGAAAAAAAAAAAGGGACTTTAAGAAAAAAGTTTTCCCATGCAGCCATTTATGCATTTTTTCCAGTGATGTGCCACGTTACTGATGCTTTAAAGCCACTGTTCCGTTTGAAGATAGAGCTGTGTTATGTATCTTCACTTTGGTTTATAATTTTAATTTATGTCAGGTAAGAAACAAACTTCTCAGAATATCTCAAATTCTGTGAGGCAAATCTTACACCGAAGAGAAGCCAGATTAGGTGTTTTGCCTAATCCTTATACTCAGTGCCTTAAAGGATAACCCTGGTTTTTATGGTGAGTTATAAGGCTAATTAGGAACAAAATAGTTGCCCTAAAGTCAGTTTAAGAACCCAGATTTGGAAAATTCAGATCAAGGTATAAGCTCATATTGTAGACCCATTTTACTGCACTTGACTGTGAATGATTAAAATAGTCAGTCGTGTAAATTCTGTATTAATCTAAATGTATGGGATTGGATTTGGACTTGGTCACTGCTTTATTGTCTTTCTCTCCTCAGTGTGGAAGGAGGAGAGTTATTTGACCGAATTATTGATGAAAACTACAATTTGACAGAGATGGATACTATCTCATTCATAAAACAAATCTGCAAGGGAATTCAGTACATGCACCAAATGTACATTCTTCATTTGGATCTCAAGGTAAAGTATTGAGATGTATGTTTTGTGCAATGACAGATGTGGAAATTCTTATTCTTAATGGTAGGCCATATAGCTTAGCAGATTCCCATGGCAGAAACAACAAAGGGCCTTTCTGCTTTCCTTATATCAATGCATATTTACTTTACCACATTGAGATCAGTTAAATTACTACAGGACTAAGTAAATTAGATGAGAATTCTGGTCATATGTCATCAAGTCTCATAGTGCTTGAATTTTCTACAGACATATTTTACAGAAAGCCAGCAGCTGAGTACAAATACCTTACTGTTTTCAGTTTCAACATTTGAATCTCAAGATATTGTGGAAATACTATTTAATTAGCAATTATCCCAATTTTTTACTATGCAGAAATCAAGACATGAGTGAGTGGAACTAAATTCAAGAGTCATTCAGGATCAGCATAAACCCTGCACAAGTTTTTGAGGACTACACTAAACTGCTGTAGTTATGAAAAGGCATCAATAGATAGCCAGATTAAGGGAAAGTACATTAAAAAGTACGTGCTAAAATAAAAGAACTAAAAATAGTCAGTGGGTAATGTAATGAATACACTATGTCTGTGTTGGACTAGTCAGTAAATGTTAGTGTAGCAGAAAGCCCAGAGAAAGGTGTCAGATCCTCTACTGTGGACCTAGTTAAATCTTCTACTTAGGTATATGAACTACTTGACTATATACACAAGTCTCCTCACTTCTTTTTAAAAACAAATCCACCAGTTTCACATCGTTACTCTGGCTGACTGCAAATGGTTAACGATCACCCCTAAGAAAACATTTGTTGTTATTTTTCATTAAATTGTATATTTAAGCTGGCTTTTCTCCCTTAGCCCAAGTTTTTATTGAATAATAGAATTGTTTCTTAACTCTATTTAGTGCAGGAATAAAATGGGGTGATGGCTTTAGTTTTATGACTGTCTATAAAGCTTCCTAGTGATCCCTGAGCTTTACAACAAAGCAAAAAGAAACAAAAAGTGCACAAGATGATTTTCTCTTTGGTGAGATTTTTATTATGGCTGCTGTTCTTGGCTTGTAATAACTGAGCTAATATAGTACATCCTTAATGTTGTTAGCATGTATATTGTTGCAGTGGTTAAGCAAATGAGCAGATGCTTGTTGGGACCTGCTTCAGTAGCTGATCAATGACCAGACTCACTTTTCTCTTTATAAACATCCAGTTACCTAGAAACCTGTCAAACAGAAGTTCACATGGTTCTTTGGGACACATTAATTATGACCTTGGAGATGGCACAGTTTTAGTATGAGGTCAAACTGCTGACAAAAAGATACATATACAGTTCAAGAAATTAATCCCAGAGACCTCTTTTCACGTGCTCGCCAGCTACAGCTTCTCCCTTCTGTTTTGCTTGTTCATAGATTGCTGTCAGTAACAAATGAGTTTGGGAAAGAAAGCTTGAAATGGAAAGAAAATAATCTTGACCATAATCATCCAGGACCTAGGAAACTATGGACATATGGTGTTTAAAAGTCCTAATGTAAAATGAATTAGTAATGGTGACAAAGGTTAACTAATGTTTTAAGTGTTAAGGGCTGTTTTGTTTCAAAGAGGACTCAGTGAGCAATAAGACAGAGCAGCTATAAAAGTGCTGGCAATGAATATGAGACCGTATTTTAGGTATTTACGTTTCAAAGACAATTGGCCAAATCCTGTTCTCAGTCCCTTCTGTATGAATTTGCAGTAATTCTTGGAAGTTAAAGGATTCCTGCCAGGAAAGTGAAGAGTAGCATTTGGCCCTATGAAAATCCAGAGGGATTTAACCTGTGAATCCTATCTTTTGCTAAAATGTCTGAGAAAAGCATAAAGCTGATGTGACTAGCTTAATATATTAATGTTCAGTCTGACAGAACATTTGTGAACTCAGAAATGTAAACCTGTAAGATAAATTTCAAAGCTCAGCAAAATCTGTTTTTTTGAAAATCAGTGTCAGCTTATTAAGGTCTGTTCAATCCCAGTGATAGCATTCTGAAACCTCTCTTTGGAAGTCTGCTTTCCCTATCCCCCTCCCCCTAATGTGTTCTTTATCTGAACCGCTGCCTTATGTCAAATTGAAAAGCCACGGAGAGGAAAAAGCAGTTGCAAAGCACAGAATGCACAGCTCCAATGGCTGTGTGACAGCAAGGGGGCTACCCATGCAGAGAAATCTGAACAAGGAGGAAAGCAAAAGGTGCTTAGGAGATATTTGCTCTGTTTTTAGTGTTTTTCTCCCTACAGTTTGCTAAAAGCCTGCTTTTTCAACCTCACTAAAGTGCTTTTTTTCTTCTGTTTCTCTTGGCAGCCTGAGAATATCCTGTGTGTGAATCGAGAGGCAAATCAAATAAAAATTATTGATTTTGGATTGGCAAGAAGGTACATGCATGTGTTCTCACTAATCATGAATGGATTAGGAAACAATGGAGAAAATATTGCGTCTCTACAGTTATGTATTTCATACATAACTGCCTTCTACTGTTGTTAGGACAAATTTAATTGTTTCTTTTATGCAGGGATGTCTTTTAATATGGAATGTTTGGAGCTGAGTAGAAAAAATTTGTTCTGAAGCCTTTTTTCAGGTATATGGTTGAAAGAGGGCTGATTCTGACTAAGCAGGAATAAAAGTATCTTAGAACAGCTAAAATGGACAAAACCAGTTGTACATCTTGTCTAGTCTCTTGTCTGCAATATTAAGATATTCTTCAGAAGAGAGTGTAATGTACCATCAAGGGCTGTTACAATATATCCCATGCTATATCACTTTCTAGTTTAATTAGGTGCCATAACCTCAGTGAAGGATTTATTGGTTAAAAGTTTCATGCCTATGATATGGAGAAGTCCCAAAAGGATGGTAAAAGCTGCTCTGAGAAGTCTTTAAAGTATGAATTTCTTCCTTTTTATAGCAGTTGCATTTTGCCCTAGTATGATATAGAGCTTGCAAACTGTTTTCATTCTATATATGGGTATATTTCTTTTTACTTTGTACCATTGTCTGTCCTTGTTTTCCTACTGAATTTCCTGTATGCTTCCAGAATTCCTGTAAGTGCCAGACAACTTGTGATGCAGCTTTAATAAGACCTGTAATTGATGTCCTTTGTTAATGTTCCCATTTCCTAGATATAAACCCAGGGAAAAGCTTCGAGTTAACTTTGGGACTCCAGAATTTCTTGCTCCTGAAGTCGTGAATTATGAGTTTGTCTCTTTTCCTACAGACATGTGGAGTTTAGGAGTCATTGCTTATATGCTGTAAGTAGGATTCAGTATCTGCTTTGTAAGCTGTTTCTGGGATGAACTGTGTCAGTCACCCAAGCTTGCTGCTATACTGGCAGATTGAAAAAAATCTGAACCCAAAATAGGAAATGTAGACTTCTTTCCAAATTCCGTATTGAGCAATCTCTCCTCTTTGCCAATTGTCATGAAGTTTTTTCTTTGTTTTGTTGCATATCTCTCGCTAGTGTTTGAGCATCACGCTTCCAGAATAATGTAAACTGCTTGGTAAATTCCCGGTGGGTAGTGCAAGAGTGGTCAGAGATCTGGAAAATATGACTGACCATGAAAGACAGTAATAATTAGTTTATTAGAGAAGAAGGGCGATTATTTAAACATGTAAATAGATGAAAAATGGGAATGATCTGGGGACATTCTTAGACAATAGCATTTTGCAAGACAGGCCAGTAGGGACTGAACAATCGTAAGTGACGCATTGGAGATCTTGTACAGGAAAGGGAAAGACAGGAGGACTGAATATATTTCTTTTTACTTCAGCCTCAGTGGATTGTCTCCTTTTTTGGGTGATGATGACAACGAGACCCTCAACAATATCCTGGCCTGTAGCTGGGATTTTGAAGAAGAGGAATTTCGAGGTGTTTCTGATGAGGCCAAAGATTTCATTTCAAAGCTTCTCATCAAGGAAAAATGGTATATGATCCCTATATCTTTGAAATGTGTGTTCCATGCCATCTATCATGACACAGTTGTGTCATTTGTGCTGCTCCACTGCAGAGCTAATATGACTTAAGTTTTTTATGTCCACTTAGAATATTATAATGCCACTTCATTGATGCTGTTCATTGTATCTATAAAACTTTCTGAAGTTACCTGAATATATTTTTGCTCTGAAACAAAACCTAGTTTATGGATTAGCTGTGATCTGGCATAGTGTTCTGAAATGACAGCATTGCATGATGGCAGAACGTATAACCTGTAGCAGATAATTGCTGAATTGTAAGATTCTGGGGAAAACTCTTAATAGCATTCTGGTTTTCCTTTAGCTGGAGATTAAGTGCAACTGCTGCCTTAAAACACCCATGGTTAACAGACCACGAGCTCCACTACAGACTCCAGGTCTCTACATTTAAATATCCTTGTGCATCTGCTGTTGCCCTCTTGTGTTGCCACATCACAATTTGCTTTGACATTTCTCTTAACTTCCTCTGAGTCTTTGTTGCTGATTCATTTCTTGCCATTGTGAGGCACATGTGCCCCCTTGCTTTTTTTCAGCTGTTCCAATTTGCATGCTCACACTTGCTCATCAGTTCTTGCGCATCTGGGAAGAAATATAAGATCATGCAAAGCTGTGTGTTGCTGAGTGGATCCATTTCTTAGCAAAATAGGAGTATTTACAAAATGAACACTGAATTACCATATGAAAAGGATTTTCCAGCTGGGGATGATTCTTGTTCCTGCTTTGAAAATCCTTTCAGGCTCTCCTAAAGTCCCCCATGAATTTGATTTCATCCTGCCTCTTCCCAAGGGATACCTTTCCCAGCAGAGCTTGGAATTTCACCTTGTGCATATCTTAGTACTTAAGAGCCTTCTTGCCTTTCTGCTGATGAAATGGTATGGGTTCTGGGCAGGATGGACTGACTAGTGTCTTGACAGCTCTGTCCTTGCAACACGTTCCTGTTATATAGAGTAAGGATAACCAGAATTACTATAAACCAGAATATAATAATATAAGAATATTCTAATTTTCACTGAAATTTTGTTTTCTTTATAATCTCACAGAGCAGTAATGCCTGTGAGATTACTAGAAGATTTATAAGCGTTTGTGCACAGTAAAAATAGGAGAGTTTGTCACAGTTAATATCTTTTCAGAGCTATCCTCTTCAGATATCCTATGAAATCCATAGAATACAATTTGTCTCCTTTAGCTGGGCTCCAGTGAAGCTCTAATTTCTGCAATATGGGGAACAGACAGACTTTTCCAAATGCTGCAAGAACACAAGCTGTGCTGTGTGGCTTCCTATCACCAATTTTTTTCTTGGGGAAACCCTACCCTAATACAAACCTTACAGCTCATGTTGTCCTTTATATCCTCTCCCCCAGTATTTTTTAATTCATATTTCTTGTGCTTTGCAAGATAGCTTCACTAAACATCTGATATTGCAGTGTTTTTCTGCCATTACCTTAACTAGAGGTAAGATGTGACTGACTTTCAATTAATGCTCCAATAATGGTATCTTTTTTTTTTTTTTTTTAATCGTTTTTCTTTTCCCTTAGAAAAAGGCTAAAGGTCACTGTGTATCTCAAGCACCCTTGGCTCAGTAACCTTTCTGAAAGAGCTGCCAAACAGAAGGTTTGTACCAGTGTTTCTTCAGATATAAGTGCTATAGCCTCTGCAGCCGACAACCTCGCATAGTCCAAAGTGCAGGGTCCAAACTGTAGTCACCACCACCACCACCCCTACTGCTGTCTGGAAATCATTCAAAATGTAAACTGGCCCTATCACTTATACCAAGTAACAGTAACGTGCAAAAAAATTAATGTATATGAAGCCATATGTGCTGCAAACCCTGGCCATTTTAGAGGGAATGGTTATGCTCCCGCTGGCTCTCGTGGGGCAGGATTTCACCCAATAATTTTTCAGTGTTGAAAGCTTTCAGGTTTTCATGCTGTGGTTAGAAGTACAGTTTAAAAAGGGTAGAAATATGAAAAGTAATAACTTTTTAGCAGAGGCACGGGCCAGACCCTCAGGGCAGCTCCACTAACTGTAGCAAAATCAAAGTAAGGTGTCCCCTAAAAGAAGCTGCTCCACACTTCTGAGGACCCAGTTCTAACAGGGCACTTATCTTCCTTTTTAACAATCCAAACAATTTTGACAGAACATTTCTCTGTCCTTTTTTCCTGGCTCCTTGTCTTTGCCCTTTCATTAACAAACACTTCATTAGTGGTTCTGAGACTGGCTTGGTTGCCTCCCCCAGGGGATCAGGGAGTCTCAAGTCTGCTCTCATGTTCTGTCTCTGGTCTTTGACCAAAGCATATTCACTCAATCATCTTGAAATCAGGCTACCTCAGGTGGAGCAGTATCTCCATAAACACAACACCAACTCCCACGGCCACTTTTACCAGCCACCACAGAAGCTGGTGCCTCTGTTGAAGGACCGTGGGAACCACTCAATGGCTCTGGAGGCCATCTCTGGGCAAAATGTAGTGGAGGGTCAAGATGTGAGAACGCACACATACACTGTAAAACCACTTCCTTTTAGTACTGTGTCATGAGTAACAACAGGATGCCAAAATAGAAGTAGTCTACCTTTCACCACAAGCAAGCTTTTAATGGTGCCATCATCCATCATCTGCTTGGTAAGGCAAGGGATGGGTTGGGGTTTTTTTGCAACAAGTTTTGTCCTGAAAAAGAGTGTATTGTGGGAGGCTGGGATTTTAGTTCTGTTTTGACTAAGATTACAACAGATTTTATACAGTGCAGTGTAGTAACAGAGAAGTCAATGATCTTCAAATCTCAGGGACTTGAAGCTGCCTCTCCCTCATACAGTGGAGGCCAGTAAGGACTAAGGTGTCATTATTATACCCTACTTGCTGTCTGAAGTCATATAACTTCCTGATATGATACTATCTGAGCATCAACTTCTTCAGTGGAAATCCAGTGGGAGTTAATATCTCTTTGTGATTCTCAGTATTCATCCTCGCTTCATTGGTGCTGAGACAGATTTTATGAAGGTTTGGTTCACTCACCTGTGTGCTTCTACATGGTAGTTTTCTAAACAGGTTTCCCTGACCCGTTGCAAGACTAGTCTTTTTATATGTATTTCCCGTTTCAAGCCACTAACTTGTGTCAACAAGCACAGCAACAAAATGGTGAAAATTCTCCCTTCTCTAATGCAGGAAGCACTGTATTGCACAATTTTCTATTACAACCAAAATCAACTCTGAGATAAATTGACAGTCCAAAAGCAGTCAAAATTATTTTTAAATAAACTTTTAATAGCTTTGTAACGTAGTAACCTACCCATGATCTAACTTGAAGGAAAATCTGGTTTTGGCTTTAGCAGTGTTATTTCCTCTGTGTGTGTTTTTCTTTTTGGAGTTTATTTGAGCTTACTTAATGAGTGGATCTAAAGTCATAGCAGTTTTTAAAGAATAGTCATAACATATTTTTAAAGAATCCCTTTAGCTATTTTTATCAGGCAAGTTGTATGGTTACCACATTTAACCCAAAATAATGTACTCAAGTGCCAGTTGATTTAGACCTGGCATTATAAATACTTGCAGTGGTAACACAAATAAATGGAAGGGTTTGCAGCGGGCCTTTTCATGCTGTGATCTGTATGACAAGAGAGGCAAAAGAGCAGAGTAGCTGCATTTCAAGGGAGACCTCCAGGATCAATTCTCCACTTGACAAAGAGGCCTTGTCTTTATAATGTTGTATAAAAGATTTCACAAAAAAGTGGCTGCAAGAATCCTTTGTAAGCAAGAAGCTTCAGCGCTGCTTTCTTTTCTTTATGCACAAAGAAACCACCATGTGGTTGTCCTAGAACACTTAACCAAATAAAAAAATACATTGCCGAATTAACTGGATTCCTGTTTTATTTATTTTGCAGAAAAGCTGCTGTGTGGTTACTGCTGCTAAGAGATTTGAAAATATCAGCAGTCTTGGTGCTTTACCCCCCTGCCATGACTGAGACTTCTACTAAATGGACCAACAGCACTTTAGTCGCAGGACAAGTCCCAGCATTGAGGAGCTGCTGCTTCTCTATTCAGCTGTTGAAAGAAGGAAAATACTTCTTCAGATTGCAGGAAGGTGTTGCTTCTGGAGCATCATGTTCTTCATGTCTTGGAGTGCTACATTAGCTTGGTTTCATGAACTTTTCTCTATCTAATCTTATATCCTTATTTACTTATCAAAGGCTTCTTAAAGTCCAAATTATCATAGAAAAGTAACTGTTCCTCATCTCAGCCCAGAAGGAAGTCTGTCACTATGTTATATCTGTAGCCAAGGTTGATTTGAAAACAGAGTCAAAAAATTTTGGGGGAAAAAATGCAGCAAATTTAAAGCTGCCTTATGTAGAAGATTTGAAGTTTGTTTTTCCTGTCACACCAAAATGAGTTAAGGATTAGCTCAACCATAGTTAAAGCCATGTAAATTTAACACCAGTGGAAGTGAGAAATGAGGTTTTCCTTGCATGTAGGTGAATTTGCTGCATCTGTGATATGGTACATGTCAGGATTTTTTAGCCTGATGAATTACTGCTTGCTTTAAATACACTTGGATTAATTAAACAAGAAACAGAACAAGGCACTATTCATTTGTAGCCCTGCAGACTCTGTTCTCCAATATGCAAGTATAATTCAGAGTTATTTTAACAGAGGGTGATTTTACACCAGCTAATCTGTTTAATGCTAATATGACTGATTAGGACCATTGGCAAAGAGGAGAGTCAGTGCTTCACTCATTATAATCTCTGAGTATAGGCCCAAATGAAAATCTACTGTTTTTCCAAAGTTTTCTTATCTTGCTTCCAAGCCTTTCTGACTCTTAACTAGGTAAAAAAATGGGGAGTCAGAACTGCTGAATTCTTTACCTGAGATTGTTTGAATATGGCACATCATTAAGTGAATCTGAGCCTTAGTTTCCTAGTTCTCAGGTTAAAATAATGAGACTTATTCCCTGCTGTATATGGCTTTCTTACTGATTGGTTTCAGAACTATACGAATGCAGATGATAGTGAGTATTTTATTCAGTGATGCTTATATATGGTGGTGCCTCTAGATTTTCTTTGTTTAACCCAGTTCTGATCAAACTACATATTAACATAGCTATCTCTAGATATTTATCAATATATTTCATATATTTATGTATTTAAATTCTGTCTTTTTAAAAGGGGATCAACATAAAGACAAAACAGTATTTTTCATCACCACCCAGTGAATTATTTTTCACACCTTTGTCCTTTCTGGATAGCATTCATACTGAAATAGAAGGGGCCCATTAGTGGGACATAGTGGCCATCACATTCTCTACAGCCAGTTCCATCCAGTGTTTTAAAGCTATTGTAGTAGATCTCTTTAGACTTTTCCTGTAGTTGAATAGGGCTTCTTACAGCTGTGAAATCTTATCAATGCTGATGTGTTGTACTAGTGGTTGCAAATGCATGAGACCCATTACTACTATCACACACTGACACACCATGTAACTTTTATACAATGTAGAGCACTGCCACCTTCAAGTCCTCATCTGTAGTCTTAACTACAGTAAACTCTGACAAGGAGAAATTGGAGTTTCTTTGGGAAAAGACTGAGCAGTCTCAAAGCAAGAAAACAACCATATGATTTTTAGGCTGAAACTGGGCTGCCTGTTTTCAGTCACAATTTATGTTTGCCTTTACAAAATAAATAGTGAAGCTACCTTTCTGTTAGGTCTGGAGTTCCCACTCCTGTTCTGACTGTCTTCAAGACGTTGTAGCTTTTTCTCCAACTCAATTATCAGACTAAAATGCAGCAAACCACTTTGCAATTACAGGAGCTCATTATGCACTTTAGTGCCAGTATTGTAGGATTAGGCTGGGACTTTGTCCTATGGTATATTTTACATGGATATGAATAAATTGCATGTAATTTTGAATATTTTTCACTATACTAAAATAGCAGTGTGACTACAGTCTTTTCCATTCGTTGCTCAGTTGAATTAAGAGAATTTATCATTTGTTGATGCATACATCTGAAGTAATTAAGAGCTTAGTGCCATGAAGATATTGCACCAAGTCAACTGTACATCCTCCAGGAGCCCTAGGAGAACACGACTTCTGTTAAGCACATCCACCCAGTGTTCTGTCAGAAATGGGCACATGTGGGAGGGTGGAATAGCTGGACATATCTCCTCCCCCCTTGAGGAGTTAAACCCTTTGACAAGGCATATGTTGAGGAGATTCTGGCTTGTGCAACAGGGCAGAGTGCTTACATAATCAAGGCATTAACTTTATTTCTCAATAACATGGATAATGATGGTCACACTCTAGAGTCATATCTGTAAACTGCCCCACTGTTTCATCCTTGGAACAGCTCCTGCAGTGGGGCATGAGGTTGAGGGAGGGACAGTTGGAAGAATTTGGACTGAGGAAGTCTCTGCAGTGACTGAAGGTGCCATTTGGTGGCCAGGGTTAAACATAAGCATGGGCCTGCAGGTGTACAGTGGAGGAGAAGAGAATCCCAAGTGTGCTTCTTCTTATTGCCCTATAAACTCTGGATCTGCAGCACTGAGTCAGAAAGGAGGTGCATTACCGAGAATCTTATTGTTATTAAGGGTAAAAAAAATTATACTGCTGTGTAATCGTCACTGCTATGTATTACAATGTGCCTGAGAAAAATGTTTCCAGAGATGTTCATTTGTATCTTGTATCCACCTCAGTAAGAGGAAGAACTTCTTTACATTGAAGATAGCAGGGCACTGGAACAGGCTGTCCAGGGAGGTCGTGGAGTCTCCCTCTCTGGAGACATTCAAACTTCACCTGGACACATTCCTGTGTAACCTGCTCTAGGTGGCCCTGCCTTGGCAGGGGGTTGGACTGAATGATCTCCAAAGGTCCCTTCCAACTCTTTCAATTCTGTGATCTTTTCTGACTGTTGTAATTTCAGTTAAATAATAACTTGACACAGCTTCTTTTTAGTGGCTTTCTAATTCTGTCTCGTTGCACTTTGAGGAGCATGCTGTTTTGTGTGTGTGTGCACGTGTGCAAGTTTGGTTTTGGTTTTGGTTCTGTTTTAGTTTGCCCTGTCCCTGGAAATGTTCAAGGTTGAGTTGGATGGGGCTTTGAGCAACCTGATCTAGTGGAAGATGTCACTGCTCATTGCAGGAAGGTTGGACTAGATGATTTTTAAAGGTCCCTTCCAACACAAACTATTCTATGATTTTATGATTTAAATGTGTTCTGTAATGACTAATAGCTAAAACCTTATGTGTTAAATTATTGTTTTGGCACATCATTATTTATTTTCTGCTAGGTAATAATAATAAGGTGACTAGGTTCTAATAAGTCACCTGCATTGTTATGAATTTGCTTGTAATAATCTTTTTATATATTGGCTTATGTGGTTGCATTTGGAGAATGTGAATTACTATGCTTGTGAGCAGGTTTGGGTGTGAAAGGCATTGCACTAGTGTTGTGACTCCATTTAGCTGAATATCCACAGCCAGTCAGAGATGACTGCAGATACCTCAAGAATGATACAGAAACGTCAGTTGTGGTGGAAGGGATAAAGTGCCAAGATGCAGTCTTTGTTTTTTGTACACCATAGTATTCTTCCTGACATGTAAAAATTAAAGGCCATATCATGGGAACATGACAACTATCACCTGACTCCCATAAAAATTAGCATGCTATTATTCCCACTCCTACAGATAAAATGGATATACTAGATGCAAGATATACTAGTCTAACATTGACATCAGGATTAGAACCAAAAAGGCACAAGATGGGACACTACTGGTTTTCCAACTCTTTTTATATGTTGTACATTGTAGAGGTTAGGGAATGGGTGAAAACCTTTACTGTAGAAAGATGTCCATACTATCATATCCATGTTTCTGAGCACCTGTAGCCAGTCACTCCTCTGGGTACCCTCACAGCATAAACAGTTGGCAACTTGGGATAATCCACTCTGGAGATTACAACAGGAGTTACTTTTTAATTTCATTTTCATATTCCTTCTAATTTCAGAAGCTGAATAAAGTTAAAGCCAAACTAAATAATGCTACTGCTTGTTTCGAAGCAGGAATAACAGTATAGCTCCACAGAATTAAATAAGGGAAGTGCTAGATTCACCTTTTGTGATGTGAGTAATACAAGAGTCCAGTTTAACTTCCCTACCTCCCTGCCACAAAAAAATCTACTTTGCACCAATCCTGATCAGTAAAAATAAAAAGAACCTTAATTTTTTAACAGTTAAGGATGTCAGTGAAGAGACAGTTTTTCTGCAGTGGTTAAATTGCTGCAGTAAGAGTCAAGGTATTTTAGCATTTTCAATTTAATGCTGATACTACAAATCACTGTTGGTCTCTTTCAGCAAAGTGACCCTCACTGACAGGAGTTGTGGGAAAAGAAGGTGTTTGTCAGCTCTTGTCCACTAATGGAGACCTGGAAACATTGCATGCCCTTCCCCTAGACCCACCAGGACAATTCTTAGCTTGGGGACTTTTAATCTGTGATAGCAATGGATGTTTTGCACCCACAGCAGTGATAAATGAGTGAGTATTGATGCTTCTAACTCCTTCCAGGAGGATGATACATCTTCATGTACTACTTTTATCATCACTGATAAATATTTGTTCTTGTGTCTCCTGTGAATAAAACTAAACACTGCATGAATCCGTTTAGGGACGTTAGACTGTTTCACCTTCCATGAAGGCTTGGTAGCTGAACAACCTGTTTCAAATTTAGATGACAGTTGGTAGAGATAACACTTTGTAAATATGTTTTTTAGCTATGTCCATAGAGTTAGTGATCACATTTTGGTGTGGCAGAACTAGTGTTTGTGTACCTCAAAGCAACTTCCCTTGAATTTAAATGACAGGTGTGTGGCAACTAAATCACAAAGTGTGTGGATTTTCATGTACCTTATCGTTTTGGTTTGAATATCTGGTTTTGTAGATTAACTCATGTATCTCTGGTATTTGTTCTTTTGTGAAAACATGAAGCAATCTTGTAAAAAAGATAACTGAGGAATAAATGCAGATTTTGTTTACT